GCAGTTAGTACATTGTCTTCTGTCAACACTGGAAGTAAGGTGGTCAAGTAAGTTAATAGACTGAGTTCCTTTATGTGAATTTTTCAATTTTCTTAATGCAAAGCCCATACCTGTGAGACTTGAAAGGTATTAAGCTCCTTATAATGTAAAATTTTTGAATTTGTAGGTGATTAAAGTGCATATAACTTGCTATCTGCCTGTCTTAACTTAGTACTCATTAGGAAACTTTTGGACCTAAGATGGGAATTAAATTCCTATGCGTACTCTGAGCTGAAGCAGGTGGCACTTTCACTGAATTTGGGGGTAGATGCTCTTCTCGTAAGCTTTTTTTTAATTTTTTTTTATGAACTTTGTATATTTTCTCCCATCTCTACATGTAACTTGCAACTGTAAAGTAACTAGATAAGACTAAGACAATACATTTTATTATGTTTGCAGTGCTGTTAAAGGAAAAACCCCTCAGGTGGGCGATAGAGTTTTGGTAGAGGCTACTTACAATCCTAATATGCCGTTCAAATGGAATGCACAAAGGATCCAGACACTTCCAAATCAGGTATATGGAGTCACTCAGTCTAGCTTGTACCTACTGCTTCTAGTTTATGCTCACTCACAATTAATTTTCTCTTCTGTTGTTAGAACCAGACACAAGCTCAACCGTTACTGAAGACTCCTCCAGCAGTTCTTCAGCCCATTGCACAGCAAACTGCATTCAGTGTTCAGGCACAGCCACAGCCACAGTCCTTGTTGCAGGCACAAATATCAGCAGCTTCAATCACACCTTTGCTTCAGACACAGCCTCAGCCATTACTGCAGCAGCCACAGCAGAAAGGTGCCCCTTCAGTGTGCAGAGTTTGTGTGGTCTTTCTGCTGCTTAGTGTGTGATGATTACTTTTTTTGTTAGTCAGAAGACTGAAGTAATAGTTTAAATAATATGTAAAGGACCCTGTAGAATTTTCGGTTTGGATATGTCTTCCTGCAGCTATATGTGGGGCACATTGCCTGCAATAGCTCAAGAGTCACTTGGTAGTGAAATCCCCATGGACTCCTGTTCATAATCCAAAAGCAAAATCAGTGTAATAATTTTTATATTAGAATATATTAAATTTATATTTCACACAGTTGTGTTGTTAGAACTGTTACTTCTGTATCTGTGTTTTATTAGCTAAGTTGGCATTTGAGATAAGAAATACTGCCAAACATGGCAAACCTAAAACAAAGGTTGTGGGGTCACTTGAACGTTGGCTGAAGAATTAGTAATATGGTTGATAATAAGATAAAATGAAGAAAGGGAAGACAAGCAAAGGGAGACAAGCTATCACCAGAGCAGAACTGTTTTGGATAAATGCTTATTACAATCTAGTTAGTCCTAGTTGGTGTTTAGTAATGTTTGCTCCCTTTGCAATTGGTTAAATACCTTGAGACAAAAAAAAGTATGGACTAGGGGATTGATGCAGCAGTGTAATAAATAGATTTAAGAATAATGCTTCGGGAAGCTTCCATCTTAAGAAGATGCTTTTAAACCAGTTTCACTCACTAGTGTCTCAGTTTGAATCGGTGTACGAAAGCCTAGGTCTCTTCAGTTTCTTGGGATGGGCATTATAAGTAGATTTATTTGACTCTAGGGTTAGTTTAGAAAATGTACACAAGTGAAGCAACTGTAAAGCAGCGATGTTTGTAAAGTGTGGATAGTTGCCCCCTGTTAGGTATTGATCTTTTAATTTTTTGTTTCAGGTGGTTTGTTACAGCCACCTGTTCGTCTAGTTTCACAGCCTCAACCAGCTCGAAGATTAGACCCACCATCCAGATTTTCCGGGAGGAATGACAGAGGAGGAGACCCTATGCCAAACCGAAAAGATGACAGGAGGTATGCTGTCGAAGACTAGACTATAATCAAAGCGTTCTGTAAAGACCTGTCTGCAAACAGAGCTGGGCTTGTTCCGGTGTGAGTCAGTGATATGCACAAATGGCTTTACGATAGATATTAGTGAAGAGATCTTGCCTTTCTGAAATGAAGGAATTGCATGAATGGTCTCTTGTAAAGAGACAGTGTTCTGAAACTATGAGGAACTTCTCTCCTTTTTGTGAGTTTTTTAGCTTCTGTTCTGGAAACCGTTTTTTGTTATCAGCATGCAAAAATATTTGTATCTTGTATGCGTTTTTTAAGTCGTGAAAGAGAACGAGAGAGACGTAGGTCCCGGGAAAGGTCACCCCAGAGAAAACGCTCCAGAGAGAGGTCACCGAGACGAGAGAGGGAGAGGTCACCTCGAAGACCACGACGTGTTGTTCCTCGTTACACAGTTCAATTTTCAAAGTTTTCATTGGACTGGTATGTTTATAGTGCCAGATGTTTGCCTACATCTTACTTTAATTGTGGGCACAGATTACTGTGAGCTGTGTAAACACGTGTGTGTGTGTAGTGAGTGTTAAATGTTATCTTAACCTTAAAGAAATATCAAATATGTAATGGCTGAGAACCTTCTATGATAAATGTTTTATAGGTTCTTTGTTATTTTTTGATGCTACTGGATACCTTTATAAATTCTCCCTAATATGCAGACACCTTAATCAGAAGTAGTTAGTAGTTACTTGATTTTAAACCATGACACTCAGATATTTCTCTTTACATCTTACGTATATACATACATACAGTAATAAATACACAATGGCTGTATTTCCAGTTAATATACCTCTTAATTATGTGCCTTTATTACTGTTTTTTTTATTGCTGTATCTTTCAAATAATATTGTTTATTTCAGCCGTAGCTGCGATATGATGGAGCTGAGGAGGCGTTACCAGAACTTGTATATCCCAAGTGATTTCTTTGATGCTCAGTTTACATGGGTGGATGCTTTTCCTATGTCTAGACCATTTCAGCTGGGAAACTACTGTAATTTCTATGTAATGCATAGAGAAGTAGATCCTATAGATAAAAACGCTGCTGTCCTTGATCCACCTGATGCTGATCATCTGTACAGTGCAAAGGTTTGTATGGATTTCCAGTACTGTGGCTATTCATTAGAAGTTTTTTTACCAATAAGGTAAAAAAGTAAATTTAACTGAACTGAAAATATTCTGTAATTTAAACAAAACACAGTGTTTTTAAACCTTTCAATAAAGAGCTAGTATGTAGTGCTTGAAGAATCATGACTGAAATTCAGTTTGTACTTTTGTTACTAAAGCTGTCCTAAATATTTTTACTGAGGCCTCTACCATTTTCTGCACCCAGTTGGACCAATCTGACTATAGGAAAGAAAGCCAGCTTCCCCAATATGTCTGAATGTTATTTTTAGGTGATTCATTCTGAATAGTTAGCGGAGCCCCTTTTTGTTTCTTCAAGGGTCCCTTTTGTGCAGTTTGTGCTCTTCTGTTTAGTGATTTATTTTTTTTTTCTTTCTTTCAGATTCCTCTCAGTATTATTTTGTGGAAAGTAGATTGAGCATATTGGGATTATCTGAATGTCAAAAGGGCTGTAATGATGTATAAAAGACCTCAGTGTCAAAACATCTTCCTAAAACTCTTACTAAAATAGGTCTGAGATTTTGAGGTCAATCTGTTTTAGAAGTGTATTTCATTATAAAGACAGGTTTAGAAACAAAACTGCCTTTAACTCTTGTATTTCTGAAAGACTTCACTTTTCTTACGTTCTGTGTATATAAGTCTTGAAGCCTTGGGGCAAGTATCAGACATACTGTTTTTTTAGTCTGTTGATGCAGAACAAGAGCTCTCTTTCAGAAAGTCAGACTTCAAAATATATTTAGTAACTGAGGAATAGCATCCCATTTCATAATACTGACCTCTTTAGGATATACAGCAACCTTGGTAGAATTGGCTGGGCTAATGGGATGCTGTAAGGATGCAAATCAGTGTGTTAGTCAGTTGCCTTGTGACTGTGACAAATGGAAGGAGTAAGTTACTGAAACCAGAAATGTACTCAGTTTGCTTCTTGGTATAGGCTATTTGGCATATACTGGTAACATCCAAAGCATTTGCTTTTATCTGCTTTCGGTTTGGTTTGGTTTTAAATAAGATCACACATTGCATCCATATGTGATGAAGAGAAATTGGTCCTTGGCAGACATTTTAACCTCAGTTCGACAGTTTATTTTACCTTTAGTTGTTTTGATTTTTTGTGACATTAAGGAAAAAGTACTGGTGTGTATGTATTTGGAAGTTGTGGTCATTGTTTACCAGTCATAGTGGGAAACCTTCACAAGACTGATCTGACTTACACAACAGGTGATGTTGATGGCTAGTCCTAGTATGGAAGATCTCTATCACAAGTCATGTGCTCTGGCTGAAGATCCTCAAGAACTTCGTGATGGATTTCAGCATCCCGCTAGACTTGTAAAGGTAAATATGCTTCAATGCCAGACACTTTTGGCAATAAAGGTTGGTTATAGAGCTTTAAAATACTAGGCAGTAAGGGAGGAGTTTGTAGGCAGCTAAATGATGGCTTCATTTTTAAGGAGACCTAGTTTATATGTGAATCCTGTTTCCAGTTCATAGGAGCTCCATCGTCACTGCTTTAATATTTACTGAATGCTCACCTTGAACTCAAAACAATAGATATTTGGAGAAACTTGTATTATGTTATTAACTTTGTTAGTCTTTTTACAGGCACTTAGACTATTTTTTTAGGAGCTCAGCTGTGAAGGGATTACAAATGAAGCAACAGTTAAATAACCAGTGTATGAAGTGAAATTTAACTATTGTTAAAAACTGAACAATAAGTGCTGTGGTGTTTCAGGATGTCACAGACTTGTTTTCCAATTAGACGCTATTGTCTTAAAGTAAATGGGAGTAATTGAATTTATAATGTTCTTATTTTTTGTAGCTTTGCTTTATTACTTCTAAGCAGGAGCATCTATAGATGTGTATTGGAATTAAGGCACCATTTAAATGAGTAGCTGTTTGTCTTTTGTGTTAGAAAGCTTTGACTGTAAAGGAACAAGCCTTGTCCCAGTAAAGAAACTTGATGGAAAGTCTTGCAAGCAAGAATGAGTGATGATGTTTTAACCTATTCCATTTCTGAAATGATCTGTGGAAAAAAAAAAAAACTGAACTCCTTCTTGACTGACTTTGAGATTTCAAAATAATGTGGTAGCTTACTCATGGATTTCAGTGTGTTCTATTAAGTATTATTTGTGCTTTGGGAAAATAAGACTCCATCCGTAGCAGGGGAACATTCAGAAGACTCTTTTTGTCTAGTTTTTAGTGGGTATGAAAGGCAAAGATGAAGCTATGGCAATTGGAGGACACTGGTCCCCATCACTGGATGGACCTGATCCAGAAAAGGACCCTTCCGTGCTGATAAAGACGGCTATTCGTTGTTGCAAGGCTCTTACAGGAATTGACTTAAGTGTGTGCACACAATGGTAAGTACTGTACTGCAAAGCAAAGTCCACTGTAGGAGTACTTGTCTGTTACCCCAAGTTTAAAAAAAAAAAGAAAGAAATGGAAAAAAACTTTTCTTTGTTGGCTGCTCTTGGTAGTGCAGGTAAACTATTCAAAGGATGTTCTGATTTGTAATAAGCTTGATTGGTGCCAACTGTGCTGAATACTGCATTAAGAACTAATTAAAAACTCTGGGTTTATTTTGATGTGTTATGCTGTAATTTCTTAATAAATGTGCATTGAAAATATTTTTCATTTTGTGCATAGCTGGAGAAGATCGTCAAGAGAACTTCATTTCATTGTTCTTTTGTTACAAGTGAATAGCCGTTCGTTATATAGCCATATTTTCTCTTGCTGAGCTTTTGTCCTGTGTTAACACTCACTGAAGTTTTACTAATACCAGGAAAGTCTATTGTATGCTAAATTTCAATCATTTCAACACTTTTATTTGCACATGAAACCTGTGTGCTAAAAACCAAGTTACATAAAAAGAATTTTTTGGGTTTTCCTCCTTTTCAAGTGCGATACGTTGTACAATTGTGCCGAAAGAGAAAATATGGCTTCCATAATTTTTTTCTTTAGATAAACTTCAAGGTCTTGCAGCAAAGTTTCTTTACTTGATGTGCTACAAGTGATCTAGGCTCTTTTAAAATGTATTGTAGAATTTTTTTTCCAACATGCTTCTTCCCTTGCAACAGGTACCGTTTTGCAGAGATTCGCTACCATCGCCCTGAGGAGACCCACAAGGGGCGTACAGTTCCAGCTCATGTGGAGACAGTGGTTTTATTTTTCCCGGATGTTTGGCATTGCCTTCCCACCCGCTCAGAGTGGGAAACCCTCTCCCGAGGATACAAGCAGCAGCTGGTCGAGAAGCTTCAGGGTGAACGCAAGGAGGCTGATGGAGAACAGGCACTGAACGCTAATCCCTTTTTCTATTTCTGCTTCTCACAGGCACAGGAACACAGGCACAAAATGCACACCACATGCTACACAACATACATACATAGGAGGAACATAACTGGTAACAATGACTGGTAAACCAGCTTTCAGCAGTGTAGTGGATGTTGGTTTTTATTTTTGTTTCAGCTAGTTCACTAATTTTAAATGTGTATGCTGATACCACAAATGGAATTGAATTGTGCTTATGATGCGCAGAAAATTTTTTATCATAGATGTAGTTGCTGGAATCTGGGAGCAGTTGTTGAGTGAGATGCAGTTTACGAATAGCTGTCTTTAAACATTTTGCCATTTTCTAAAATTCCAAAATTCTCTCCTCTGGCCAGTTCTAATTGTGATACTTGGAATTGAACAAACACTAGTCTGAAACATCTGAATTTCAGGCCATGTGGCTGATCAGCATCTTGGAATAAGGGAAGGTCTGACTGAACAAGGAGTAATTTGGGAGATTTAAAATCTGGGGGAAGATCACACACTGTGTGGTTAATGGAGACCAGCAGTGTCTGTGTAACCCCAATATTCTTTGTGGTGTTGCTTATCACCCTTTTGTGTTCCGCAGATCTGGCTTGTATTGGCTGAGTGGCACTGTGATCATTTATAAAGTGGTAGAATGTGTGTGTGAACTTGTCTAAATAATAACTTTAGGAGAAGACTATCTGAAACAGTTGTGACCTTGCACAGATCAGCAACAGAATTAAAAAAATAACTGACGTGTTTTCAAACTTTCTGAATGATAATTTCTAAATTTTATTTGTCAGGATGAAGAGGAAAAGGATGATGGGGAAGCTAAAGAGATCTCTACACCTACACACTGGTCTAAATTGGATCCAAAAACAATGAAGGTAACTAACTCTTAAATTTTCTTCCGTTTCTTACATTTTCATTTTTAAGGCACAAACTGAAATATAGCTATATATTCCCTTAATTGAGCAAAACCCTTCTGTTTTACAGCAAGTGTTTTAAAACAAGTGTTTTACCTTGCTGATTTTTGTAGGTATTGGATGTGATATCACAGTATGCAAGTGTGACTCCTGATTATAATAAGTGAATACAGCTAAATGAAACTATTCTGAGCTTTTGAACTACATACAATTAAAGGGTATCACATACAATGTATTAACTGGAAAATTAAATTTCTGCAGTAATCTTTATGATACTTTAAAATACTTTAATGTTAGTTTGAAAAGGCAGTAATTATACAAAAACATGTGGCAGAAGACATAAGTAAAAGTCTCCTTGAAGGCAATAATAATAGTAATAAACTATTTTGCTGTAGTAAAATGGCTTTCCTGCCCTTGTGAGAAGTTCTTCAAAAAGGGGTTCTTTGAGAGTGCAACTTTAAATGTAGAATGGTTTATGTATCTGTAAATATTAGTGGTTTTCAGTACAGATTTAAAAAATACAGTTGACTGTTCAGTGTTCTTAATTTTTACTTCACCTTTTCTGCTAATCAAATGCTTTGCAATGTCACTGGGTGATACCACTTACAAAGCTTTTGTTTACTAGGTAAATGACCTCCGCAAAGAATTAGAAAGTCGAACCCTTAGCTCGAAAGGGCTGAAATCGCAGTTGATAGCTCGACTGACAAAGCAGCTGAAAGTAGAGGAACAAAAAGAAGAGCAAAAGGAGCTAGAGAAGTCTGAGAAAGAAGAAGAAGAGGAGGAAGATAGGAAATCTGAAGATGACAGAGAGGTTAGGTTTTGGACATATTTGGTTTAAGCCTTATTAAATATACATAAATACATAAACCATTATGTGTGACATTTGCATAAGTAAATACATTGGTATAAAAAGTACAAGACTATGCCCAGTTGTGTTAAGGATTTTGTAGTTCTTGGATGACTGTGCTGGGAACTCCTTGCCGTAACTTGAGATGCTGAATTGGAACAAAATCTTGGCAAGTTTGAATTTCTTTATATCAGCAAAGTCAGCTGCAATGTGCAGCTGCGCTAAGGGTGTCTGAATTAACGTCAGGCCTTCAACGTAAGGAAAAATAAATTCCAAACTCACGAGAAAAACTTCTTGAGAGCGGGTGAATACACTTAACCTTTTAAACCTACATGAAAAGCAACTGCTCAGTTGTATGAAGCCTTAGGGAATTATTGTGGAAATAGGAGGGGGTAGGTGCCTCCTGTGGAAGTTACAGTGTCTCAGGGAGTCCAGTTTCTTCACATGGCTGACAGTTTGGTTAAGTTTGTTTTCCCTTACTGTGAAACTTTAATTTTTGCTTTTGGATGACATTCCTATGTGTTGAAGTTTCTTAGTTTTGCAGTTGGTAGTTTCAGTACTACTTAGTCTGTTTTGCTGTTTCCTGAGGATAAACAAGATCTGTGCAGTAAGGCCAAAGCTCAGCCACAGAAAAGACATAAATGTCCTGTGAATGTATTGTGGGTCAGTTGCTTTTAAACCCGCTTTTTTGTGTATTACCTGCTAGCCAATACAGGATGATTTGAAATTTTATATATCTGTGTAAGCCTTGTTGAAGGGAGCAAAGGCCATGTGCTTGCTAATTCTGTCAGCTGCTGCCTTCTCACACAGCTTGGATGCACTTCAACTATCTTCAGGTTTCTTGCCATGGCTTTCTTTAACACAGGGACAGAGCTTTCAAGATTTTGCTTGTTTCTTTAAAAAGCACAAGCTCTGCCATGCCTTTTATCTGTACTCATAAAACTTCAGTATTTCTCCCTTGGCATTCAGTAAGCTGCTTGGTATTTTACCTTTAGTAACCTTTTGTTTGATGTGCATCAGTTTTATCTACAGAGATTTCATTTCCCATAATCAAAAGAGCTGAATAAATTGACATCTGGTAGTTGTTGAGAAGATGATACTTGAAGCTTTTACTCTTCCTACGTAAGGAATGAGACAGCTTACTGTACTGTATTGCTCTAAAAACATCCCTAGACAATCAAAGTTCCTTCAGGAGCATTGGCTCCTTTGCTAGTTTGCAGTCCATTTCTTGAAGCGAACTAGCTTGAGTCCTTCCAATGTTGAATGAATATGCTGCAGTTAACACCGTAAGATACTTAACAAGGTGCTTATTGCTCTGTGGGCTAAATAACACTTCATGTCTTGCTTTACACTGCTCAAGTTTGCAGTTGTTACAGGTGAATGTTGGCGGTGGATGCAGAATGCATTCCAGAAATTCTAGTGTGTGACTTCTGTATTCTGTGTTGCATCCAGCAGGTTAGGCTTTTCTTCACTTTCTTCAAAGCAGTGAGTCTTAAACACTAGTCTGTAGACTGAAACTTCATGTTTGGAGTATGCTATATGGTTGGGTTGTTGTTGTTTTTTTTTGCCTCTTTTCAGGAAGAGGAAAGAAAACGTCAAGAAGAAATGGAACGTCAGCGGCGGGAGAGACGTTACATCTTACCTGATGAACCAGCAATCATTGTACATCCTAACTGGGCAGCAAAGAGTGGGAAGTTTGACTGTAGCATTATGTCTCTTAGTGTTCTTCTGGACTATAGATTAGAAGATAATAAAGAACATTCCTTTGAGGTAATTTAGCTGTGCTACTTGCAGTTAGACATTCTTGTTTCTTTTAAATTCTGTTACCAGTGCCGTATTCTGAAACTGTGAAAGTGTATGATAACATAGCAAATTAAACTTGAATAAGTTAGTTTTTATGCAATACCTGGCAAAAAAACAGTCTTTCATACATGGTTTACAATAGCTATATAGTCACTATATAATATCCCAAAGAAATGTGCAGGT